GGGGCCGGTGTCCGCCCGGGAAACGCTGGTGCCTCCTGCGGTCCAGCCGGAGGTTTTTCCGAGGACTACCGGCTGCAGGAAACCTTCACCTGCTCCGTTTTTCCGTTCGCCTCAGCCCGGGCAGGATAATGTGTTCTGTGGCTGGCTGGGAAAAAACGCCCAGAAACGGATTGCCAAAACCAGTGATTTTTCTTTTCAGCTGTTTCTAGCCGTGATCATCTCTGTGAGCTCGGGACGGTCGCGTGCTGCTTGTCCTGGCAAAGCCAAGGGAGATAGCACAAGGTGTAGGAGAAGCAGGAGGAGAATGAAGCCTGTTTCAGCTGCCGTTCTTTTCGAGGGTGATGTTCACCCAACTGCGGTCTGACAAGCACAGTTTGTGCCTTGTAGCTAGTTAGAGCTGATGATCTAGTGCATGCAACCTTCTAGTCAGTTTTTTCCTGTTTGATAGTGGTGTCCTCCTTCACAGGAACAGGCTAAGATGCCAGCTGACATAATGAAATACTAGAACTGATGATGTAATACCCGAGTAATAGTCTTCTGGGTATTGGCGGAAACAGGGTATCCCCAAACCAGTCAATACATGAACAGACTTCTGCCTGTTTTGGAGGAGCAGGGCTGCAAGATGCCCTGTTTCCTGACAGTTCTGTTTTAGCCGGTAGTCTTTGCCGTTTGTTCTTTGGATTTAGCGTCACGTGGATCACTGTCTTTTCCTGAATCCAGGACTCATTGGGCTGTTCTGTGGTAAAGGACTTGGGAACTTTAAGAAGAAAGTAACTTCTTATATGGGTTGGGTTTTTGCTCTTTTGCCGGATTTGTCTGGTGCGTAGAGGGACCTAACAGAGCCAGCATAAGGTGAGCAGCAAGGAGGGGACTGTCCATTTGTGTGTAGTAAACTGTTTATCCGCTCATGGCTTCTCCAAAAATGAAAGTCAAAGTTCTTTTCCAAAGAAACAGATGCTTACAGTGCTCTGACACTTGTCACAACAGAGTGATAGAATCTGCTTTATTGGATTAGTGTTTTTAAGTCTGTTACTCTTGGACTTCAGGAAGAGCCGATGAGATGTTAACTTTGTTTCCAAGACAGCAACACAGAACAGTAGAATGAAGAGATTTTGCTGTTTCTTCTCTCATGGCTACTGTTTACTCGCTTTGTTTTGCCTGAAACACATCAGAGTGTCTGGATGGTGGCAAGAGCGTGCGCACTGGGATGTCTCATGAAAACTCCTCGGTGCAGTTGAAGCTCTCCACCTTGCTCCCTGACATTACCACGATCAGTGTTAGCATACTAACGATGCTTAGGAAAAGAATTTGACAGTGTGGAATAACGTGTGGGGCTACAGGAGGTTTAGTTAGTGTTGGTTAACTCTGGCTAACCAGCTGCCTTTTTTAAACTTGTGTGAAATAGCTGTTCAAACTGACAGTTTTAATTGTCCTGAAGGTGGTATAGGCATTCCAAGGAGCAAAGTGTAATAAAAGGCAATAAGCACTTAAGAGCAAAGCAATAACGGTGATACCAACAAATCCACAGGCCAGTGTGTGCAATACCATGGATCACAGTCAGTTTTATTTGAAACTTGCTCAACAAACAAATTAAAAACCCATCCATTACTTCTCCTAGAGCTTTTCTTGATGCTGATGATTTGGGTGTGTTTTCTAGCTAATGTGTTGTTTTTTTTTTCTCCCCACCTACTGGAGTGGTAACTAGAATTTCTCACTTGGATATCAAAAGCCTAAATCCTAGAGAAGCCAAACATAGTCAGGCTTTGAATCTGTCTTCCAGTGCAGGGTTGGAAAAGTGGTAGTGCTAGTTTCAGTGCACTGTAATCACGTACTTCCTGTGTTGACTCTGTTATTGACAGTTTACTGATGTCATAGCTCATAGTCCAAAGTGTCTGGGTCTGCGATGAAAACACTCAGAATGGCTTTCCGAATCTTTCCATGATGAATGCAAGGGATTGGTAAGGAAAACTGCATGGACAAATCAGTAGTAGTTCCAACTTAGTCCACAGAAACTTGTTCTTCTCACTTCCACTTCCTTGGGTGCTGGTCCGTTTCAGCAGGCTGTTAATCACTGTTCATAAAAGAACAGAAATATTGTGTCACGTACAAAGCACCACCTAAGACTTGCAGTCGCCTTCAACTTTTTGGGGTAAACCCAAGCACAAATACAGGCTGGGTGGAGAATGGATTGAGAGCAGCACGGAGGAAAAGGACTTGGGAGTGATGGTGGATCAGAAGCTCAACATGAGCCGGCACCGTGCGCTGGCAGCCCAGAAATCCAACTGTGTCCTGGGCTGCATCCAAAGCAGCGTGGGCAGCAGGTCAAGGGAGGGGATTCTTCCCCTCTGCTCTGCTCTCCTGAGACCCCATCTGGAATACTGCGTTCAGCTCTGGGGTCCCCAACACAAGAAGGACATGGAGCTGCTGGAGCGAGTCCAGAGGAGGCCACGAAGATGGTCTGAGGACTGGAGCACCTCTGCTATGAGGACAGGCTGAGAGAGTTGGGGCTGTTCAGCCTGGAGAAGAGAAGGCTCCGGGGTGATCTTATAGCAGCTTTGCAGTACCTAAAGGGGCTACAGGAAAGCTGGAGAGGGGCTTTTTCCAAGGTCGTGTAGTGATAGCACACGGGGCAATGGATTTTAAACTGGAAGAGGGCAGATTTGGTTTGGATATAAGGAAGAAATTTTTCACTCAGAGGGTGGTGAGGCACTGGCACAGGTTGCCCAGAGAAGTTGTAGCTGCCCCATCCCTGGAAGTGCTCAAGGCCAGGTTGGATGAGGCTTTGGGCAACCTGGTGTAGTGGAGGGTTTCCCTGCCCATGGCGGGGGGGGTGGGACTAGATGATCTTTGAGGGCCCTTCCCACCCAAACCATTCTATGATTCTAAATGTTGCAGAGCAGAAGGACTGGCGATCAAAAACCATCGGAGCAACAGCTTAAAATGTCTCTTCGATGATGCAAAACGCTCTCGCGCAGCACTTAATGATTTGCTTGTGTTACAGAAAGCAATAGACCTCGCTAGCAAGGCAGCGCAAGAAGATAAAGCAGGAAACTATGAGGAAGCCTTCCGCTTGTACCAGCACGCTGTGCAGTATTTTCTCCATGTTGTCAAATGTAAGTGTCATGGTTTGGATGGTCAAGAAGCGTTGAGGAGTCAAATTGCTCTTACGTTGACATCAGTATTTAAATTTTTACTTTCATAGTCGGTTGAAACTTGCTAATTGTGGTTTGACTGAGGTCGTGTACTCGGCAGCTGTTGCCTTTGCTGTGTTGTCTGCTCATAAGAAATGAGATTACTTTTTACTTGTGGCTTGTTTTCGGGTTTTTTGGGACAGGGAGGCAGGGGTTTGCTGTCTCTCCTCTCAACTTGTGTAGTGGTGTTTCAGACTGGCCACTGCGCATGAGGAAATGGGACAATAAGCACAGGGACCCCTGTATTTCTGTTGTGCTGACAACCACGTGCTCCACAAGAAGCCTTTGTTGTATCTACAGAGCGTGTTTTGCTCCTTAGATACCTCTCTGCTGGGATTTTTTACTCCGTAATGTCATAGTCTTGCTGTTCATCTCGACCAGCCAAATGCATGAGATGGATTTGCATGTTGCAATTTTTCTTCAGTTGCCATATTCTCATTGTTATTATTTTATGGCTTTTTTTTCCACACTTATTTACACTTTTTGCATCATGTCCAGTGTTTGTGTGCAAGGAGCGGGCTTTCGAAACGTAGGTACAGCCCTAACCTGAGCGAGCTGGGGTTGCTCACCTGGCAGAAGTGCACTTACACATCTCTCTACTATTTTCTTTCTGGTCAGTTAGGATAATTTGTGTTTATCACTTCCCATCTGTTTATCTCTCGTGGACTTTTTCAGAATATCGCTGCTTTTAACAGAACTGATGTACTTTTTGAAACTTAACACATTAATGTTAAATTTTGATTGTTGATTTGAAATACTGTAATAGTGACTAAGAGAACAGTGTGGCTGTTGAACCACGCCGAACTCTTTTGGATGTTTTATGTCATTTTCTTCCTTATGATGTGAACATCTTTTTAAAATTAGCAGGCTGTGGAAAAATAAAGTAGGTTTCTAAATAAAAATTGCTTAGCACAAGCAGCTTCTTGATGAGCTATTTTAGAAAATGAGTTATTAAGGCAATGTATAGCAGCATGAAAGGCTGACAGAAAAACTTCCAGTGCCATTGTCCTTAATCCTTTACAGTCAAATTTTAAGCCAAAGCAATATTCAAGTGTGTATTTGACTTCTGGTAGATGATTACATCCTTCCTGTCACTTCTTTCCATGGTATAGTGGAAAAATAAGTAGTTGAGGTGTTTGGTTATGTGGTGAGCCCTGAGAGAGGTATATTGTTAAGATACAAAGAAGTCAGATTTAGTCTTGTTTTCTGATTGATGCACATGTGTTTTGCTGTTAACAAAGCATTCTTTCTCTTCAAACTCTTAGATGAAGCACAGGGTGATAAAGCAAAACAGAGCATTAGAATGAAATGTACAGAATACTTGGACAGAGCAGAAAAGCTGAAAGAATATCTGAAAAAGAAAGAAAAAACTGCACCAAAACCAGTTAAAGAGTCGGGTCCTACTGATGGAAAAGGGTATGTTTTTGGAGAAGGTAAAGCAAAATACTTCCTGAACTAAGCTTGTTCTAAGATTCAGCTCTTCAAAGATCATTTTCACTAGTGTTTTTGAAATGCTTCAGATGGACTACTAATGCTGAAATACAGTGGGCTAATAAAAGAAAAATGATGTGAATTAGCATCCCAGGCATTTCTGTGCTGGGTTACTAAGACGTGCCAACACTTGTGTAGGAAATTCACTGATGAGTGAAAGCTGTTTCAAATTAACACCTGCTTGTCAGACTTAATGGCAATGAACCTGATGACCCTTAAAATTTTGCTACATTTAATACTTAACTAGAGAATAAATTCCAGCCAATAGTTACTGAGTTTGATCTGTCTCACAGTTGAGAAGAGGTGCAACGTAAGATGAGCTGAATAACACTAGTGCCTTGCTGCTGCCTCATCCCTCCACTGCTTTCCTTTTATTAGTTTGGTTTTTCATTTTGTGTATCAGAGCTGAACAAACAGAACCTCTTTTGCATTTGCTACTGCATTTCTTGGGATACGAGAGGGGAAGGATTCTGCTGGGATTGCCCTTCTTAGCAGTCCTGAACAGCTAGAGTTACTCAGTTGTCTCTTGAAACTTCACCTGATTTTTCAGTCTCCATCATTGTCTACTTGTCTCATCAGGTTTATTTTTTTGAGCTGTACTGTGTTCTGCTGGTTTATAGTAGAAGGAATTGGGTACGTGTATTTTCATGACCTCCACTCCAGTTGTTCACTATCTGCTCTCTTTTATTCCTCCTTTAACTTCCAGTTTCCTTTGCTCTGACAAGAGGAGGGTGTAGAGTTTCATAGTACTCAATGGGATTGACCAAGTCCTGTTGCAATTCCAGATAGGGGATAAGTGCCAGTGTCTAAAAATAAACCATTTTAGCACTTCCATGTTCCTCGATACAAGGACTTTTGTTGCCTAGAGGCTGGCTCAAAGCATGTAGAAATGTGTTAAAAGGGCTTAGACCCATAAGTGGAAGTTGAAAGGGTGAGGAGGGTGGATTAGAAAGAACATGGTGTAGAAAAGCAGGAGTACAATGATGTAAACTTGTGGACATCTGAAAGCATCTCATGGTTTCTTTCATTCCTCAGACTGATGTTTTTTCTGCCTTTTGCATTCTGATTTTTATCCTAAACCAGCAGTCTCTGTTATTGTATTTCAACTTTTTTTTCTTGTTTCCAAATCAGGAATGACAGCGATGGGGAAGGGGAGTCAGAAGATCCTGAAAAAAAGAAGCTACAGAATCAACTTCAAGGTAATTTTGAAGCATCCTTTTCTTTAAATAAAAGTCAAACAAATTCTATATTTTTGCCACCTAAATGTTACAGATAAACTTACTGTCTGTAAGTGGCTCAACTAGTATGTATTCTTCACATACAAAAGCATAGTCTTTATGGAAGTATGGGGTTTTGTGCCATGAAATTACACAGTCACTATGTTGAAATTTATCTCCTGTACTCTCCTATATTTTAAAATGACAGGAAAGTTATGAGCATTGGACTCTGTGGCGAAAAGAGACTCGGCTACAAGGTTCAAGCAAACGGTTTATTTGCACTGCGCTTACAGGTTTAACTGGAAGGGTCAAGCAAACAATTCACTTGAACTGCACTTGCAGATTCAGTATGCCACTATTGCAGGTTTTTGTGGATACAATGGAGGAATGCACTGTCACAATTTAAAAATAAAATATACAAGTCAAGACAAAATAATTTGTAGCACATCGGACTAACCAATCCGTAGTCTGAAGAGAAGGCTAAATTACAGCTCAGGTGGCTAAAATCAAGCTGAACTTGTTGATTGAGCAAGATGAGATTTGGTGATAAACCTTGAGAGAACATGGCTAGACTAAGAAGATGCTTCTTCTGCAGCTAAGCAGCTCCATACAACCTTTCTGATGCTTTCAGCCCTAGCTCTCAAAGGTCTTTACCGTTAGATGGTCTGATTGTGTGCTGCACATGTGGAGATACCCAACAAGTTACTTCATCTGCTGGAGAATCTGATAAATCCTGGGCTAGTGCAACTGTATTCAAATTTTTCAGGAAGTACAACGGTGGTTTAGTGAGGAGATGATGCCTGGGTACTCATCTGTGACTACTAAACACACTGTGTTTGCTCTTTAGTTATGGACTAGCGTTGACCATTGCAGGAATTCTACTAACTCTCGAGTATTCTGGTTATCTGTGGTTTATTGTGGTGAAACAGTGTGACAGATTTCTGTAGAAATAACATCAATTTGACTAACAGTAGTCAGTGATTATATCTACTTAAAAATGCCTCGTTTTTATTCAGTAGAGACATGGGCATAGATTTCTTCCTTTTTTCTTTTTTTTTTTTTCCACCCAAAACAGAAGTTATTGAAGTTATTGTGAAGAGATACGTGTGTCACTCATTTATACAATATTTTCTTCTAGGAGCAATTGTTATGGAGCGACCAAATGTAAAATGGAGCGATGTTGCTGGCCTCGAAGGTGCCAAAGAAGCACTTAAAGAAGCCGTGATCTTGCCCATTAAATTTCCACACCTGTTTACAGGTCAGAATCACAGCATTTATGTGCTATTGGCCAGTCAGGACTGGCACCGAGGTCTGGGAAGTGTGTTACACTGATGTATCAGGGACTCACGCTGAGCTCTTGGCAAAGAGATTGTGATCCAGCTGACAGAAATTTCATGGGTAGATGTAGAAAACCTCTGAGTAAATGAGAGTGGCTTCATCAGAAAAACAGGTTCAGTCTTTCTGCGGTATATTGAAGACTACTGGTTTCTCTTTTTCAGGAAAGAGAACACCCTGGAGAGGGATTCTCCTCTTTGGACCACCAGGAACAGGGAAGTCTTATTTAGCGAAAGCTGTGGCGACAGAAGCAAACAACTCTACCTTCTTCTCAGTGTCTTCCTCTGACCTTGTCTCAAAGTGGTTAGGAGAAAGTGAAAAGTAAGTTGGAGTTGCCAGACTTCCAGGAAAACATTGGCAAGAAGAAATGAATATAGAGCTAGATAAGTTGCTGTAAAAAAATCGAATTTAAAGGAAGGGTCATGTCTTTCTAAAAACAAACTTTAGAGGTTTCTATGCTTCATGCTGCAGTGCCATGTAAAGATGTCAACGTGCGCAGTATTTTGTGCTGCTGCAGCTGGACCTGTCTTCAGTGCTCAAGATAGTTTTGAAAACTAGCTCAGAAAGGTTTTGGGAGCACCATGGAATTCATTCTCCTTCCAAACTCAGCTGTTACTGCACACTACGTTAGTCTGAAGTGTTGGGGTACTCTGCCTCTTGGCATCTTTCTGCTCATTTGTCCTAGCAGCTGTGCCAGTAACACGTAGCATTTCTTTGTCCGTACGGAGGTGGGTTTTTTTCATCCTGATTTCAAACAAAACCTGGAAGACATAAGAGACTTGCAAAAATAGGTTGAAGGAGAGTAGCAGCCATGAAAGAAA